AGAGGCCTACACAGATCATGACAGGGGCACTAAGGGGAACTAGGCCTTGGGGAGCCTGGCCTCAGGGTGTCTGCGGCTGGGGTCGCTGGCCCCGGCTCAGGAATGGTCTCTCCTTCTGGCTGCACCTCTTGTGCAGCTGCTGGGGACTCTTCCTCCTCGGGTACTGCTAAGGGTTCTTCCTCCGGGCTGTCTCTAAAGGAGTCTGAGTTGTTCTCTGCCTGTTCCTCATCCGAGGAGGAGTCGGCCTCAGCCGGACCCAGACCCACAACAGCATTTGACTAATTCACAGTATTTTATTTATCGGCACTCCTAAGCAGGGCTCTTTTTGTAGAAAAAGCCCAGCAGGAACTCATTAGCATAATAGGCCACACCCAACAGCAGAAACACATTAGCATATTAGGCCACACCCCTGACAGCACAGCTCATTAGCATATTAGGCCGCACCCCATGTTACCAGAAGTGTGGTCATCCAGCCACACCCACCTTTTGCTTGTTATTCTGTTTACCTTGTTTGTTGTCAAAACCCAGGGCTCTTTTTGTAGCAGGGACTCCTTTGCATGTTAGGCCACACACCCCTAATGTAGCCAATCCTAATGAGTTCCTGCTGTTGGGTGTGGCCTATTATGCTAATGAGTTCCTGCTGGGCGTGGCCAACTTGGGAGCCAGCCGGAACTCTGTTCCTGTGCGTTCCTGCCCCAAAATAGCCCTGGGTTTAGCAGTCGTATGGGGGGTACTGTACTGTACTGTAAGAGTTGAAGGTTTTAGGAAATGTTTCCATCTGTATCCTGAGAATGCTGGGAGATGGAGTAATTTCTTAAAAGGCAGGTGCTTTAAAAAAGAAGAGCTGACATCCCTGATTGTACGAAGGGAGGGTGGGTGTATGGTTTGGACTGAACTTTACATGATAGAGAGTTAGAAAATTATGCATGGGATAGAGAAGGGAGAGAAAGAAGTCCTTTTCTCACTTTCTCACAATACAAGAACTCACCAACAGTCCATGAAATTACGGAGCAGGAGGCTTAGAACAGATCAAAGGAAGTCCTTCTTCGCCCAAAGAGTCATTCACACGTGGAATTCACTGCCACAAGAAGTGGCGGCGGCTACAAGCACAGACAGCTTCAAGAGGGGATTGGAGAAACATCTGGAGAAGAGGTCCGCCCGTGGCTATTAGCCACAAAGTACAGATGGAACATTATGTCCGGGGCAGTGAGGCTCTGTATTCTTGGCATTTGGGGGGTGCTGGGGGGGCAACAGTTGGAGGGCTTCTGGAGTTCTGCCCCCACTGGTGGACCTCCTGATGACACCTGGGTTTTGGCCACTGTGTAACACCGAGTGCTGGACTGGATGGGCCATTGGCCTTATCCAACATGGCTTCTCTTATGTTCTTATATCTGGGGCAGGGATGCTCTGTCTTCTTGGTGCTTGGGGGGGGGGAGTGGGAAGGCTTCTGGCGTTCTGGCCCCACTGGTGGACCTCCTGATGGCCCCTGGGTTTTTGGCCACTGTGTGACACAGAGCGTTGGACCGGATGGGCCATTGGCCTGATCCAACATGGCTTCCCTTAACATTCTTAAGTTCTCTTAACTGCCCTCTTTCCTTCCTCTCCTAGGTTCAGTGCCACAAACAGACGGGCTACTGTTGGTGTTCTACTCCGGAAGGGAAGCCTATCAGTGGGACGTCAGTCCTCAATGAAACCCCAAATTGTACAGGTAGAACGCTCTGCCTTGGGTCTCTTTCTGTCTCCCCTGCCCCAAATCCCATTTCCTTTGCTGGAAATAAAGGTTGCCAACACCTTTTTTCTGGCCCCGCTCCTGTGCCTTCGACTATGGCCTGACTCACGGAAGTTATAAAGTGTCGCTCTCTTCTGATTAGGAGATAGGCTTGCCAAGTCCCCCCGGGGGGCGGGGAAACCCCCCACCCCAGAGGCCCATTCCCCGCCGCCGGCAGATTGGTCCCCGGGGGGAACCCTACCCCCAAAGTACGCGACGTGCACGTCACCCGGAAGTGACGCGACCACGCCGGGCATGCTGGGGGCGGGGCCACGGTCATCCGAGGGAAAACTCTATGGTGACGTGGTTGCGGCACTCCAGGAGCGAGCCGGGAGCCCCCCGCTACAGCGACAGGTAGGACTTGGCAACCCTATTAGGAGATGATGAAACGAGGGGGAGGGAATAGGGGGCAGGCTGGCTGTAACTCACCTGGACATTTCCTAAAGGGGCTGCTGCTGCTGCTGCTGTAGGGGTAATGTCGACTAGAGATAACCAATATACGAAATGTGTAATAATAATTCAATAATGCAAAAATATAATTGCTATAACAATATTGGCCAAGGTGTAACCAAGATACAGAAGGAAGAATGATAATGGAAAGAAGAGTAATGTCCCAAGTATTTTACTGTGTCTCACTCCAGTAGGGTTGTAATATCAAAGTCCAATTTGACATGATTGAGGTTTATAAGATTATGCATGGGAAAGAGCAGGTAGAGAAAGAGGTACTTTTCTCCCTTTCTCACAAGACAAGAACTCGTGGGCACTCCATGAAATTGCTGAGCGGTCAGGTTAGAACGGATAAAAGGAAGTACTTCTTCACCCAAAGAGTGATTAACACATGGAATTCACTGCCACAGGAAGTGGTGGCGGCTACAAGCATGGACGGCTTCAAAAGGGAATTAGATAAGCATATGGAGCAGAGGTCCATCAGTGGCTATTAGCCACAAGGTATAG